TATAGTCTTTTTAGTAGTATCTATTAACTTATTATTACTATACTTATTATAAGCTTTATTCTATTTATACCTTAGATATAGTATAAGTGTATATATTTAACTAAGGTATTATAAGCTTAGAGACTAGAAAAAGAATAGTAGTAATAATATAAGTATTAATAAAAAAAGTAATACGTAAGTAGATAAACTAGGTATAGTAATAATAAATATTTTAAATATAGTTAAAAAAGCGTAATAAGCGCTATTAAATAGTGTATCTAATATAATAAAGTAATATTATAGCGTAAGTAAAGTATAGAGTTAAAGTAATAATAGTATATTATTATAATACTAAAATCTATATTACTAATATTAGTACTATTTTCTCTTAGACGCTTTATAAAGATTTATATTTAAGCCTACTTATTAGTTTAGAAGTTTTATAGTATTTAATACTTTTATTTTTTAGGCTATAATTAGCTTAGTAGCTTTAAGAAGTTTTTAGCGCTACGCTAGCGCGTTAGCGTAGCGCTAGCGCAAGAGTTAAACGCATAGAATCTTAGAGAAGCGTATAATTTATAAGATAAGATAATGCCGCTACCCGCGCCTAGCTTATTAGGCCTAGGCTAGCAGCCCTCTGTACCTCTGTCGCGGCTTACTAGCTTCTTACCTAGACACAAATGCGCTCGTACATCCGCACAATCGCTATTGTTATCAAACAGTCAATCTGGCATAATGCGCAACGGTACTTCTTATCGCGAGGCGCGTATCAAGATCATTGCGCAACCACTTCGGGCGCGGGGCGCAGGGCGCGAATGCAGACGCTTGGCGGCTGAGCAAGTACAGGACTCGCGAGAGTGATATTGGGGGCCATTGTGCGCTCTCGGGGCCATTTTTTTGATGCAGATCGCACGTGCAGCGTGCGTGGCATTCTTCATTTGTGAGGCTCAGCCCGTGCCGCACCAAGCCAAGGTCAGATGGACCGCGGGGCAATTGTCGCTTCGCTATGAGATCCAAGGACGACTCTCAACACACCACTCCTTAAGAAGCCTGCTAGAACAAAAAGCGCTCGGCCATCACAGCTTCGAATCTTCACAATCCGTGTTCAACTGGGCATGCAGTGGGGGACAGGTCCGAATGACTGACATTCGATTCGCCATGGAATTTCTGGAAGGAGAGAAGTGCGAACGCTGCTCCGCCATACCCTGGGTACGGTGGTATGTATCGCTTTGTGAGACTTTGCATTTCACAGAAACCCCAGAGCAACTTCAAAGCGCTTCTTGTCCAATCTGCCGGGTTATCGGACGCGGGATTGCGAAATACGATGAACCTGTAACGTGTCTGCAAAGGGACATCTTCACTCCGGAAAGGGATGAAGGCTTTCTTGTCTGGCTTCCGCGCGTGCATGTGCTCGCAGACTTCATGCTTTACGATAAAGACGACAAAGATTTCATCAAAGCCTGCAAAGTCCATCCAAAGCGGGTCGACTTTACGCACGCGAGGCAGTGGATACGCAACTGCATATCGTCACACGTCGAATGCAAGTCCCCGCCGGGCTCAACTCTCCAAGATCTGAAGGTGCTCGACTGTCACAATAGAATCGTCGTTTCGGCACCGGAACACTGCGAATACGTTGCGCTTTCATATGTCTGGGGAAAAGCAGGATTGGACAACGCTCCGGATCTTCCGCGAATACCGGACATACTTCCCCGCACCGTTGAGGATAGCATCATAGCTACTAGAATGCTTGGGTACCGTTACCTTTGGATCGACAGATATGTACGCCAGCCGATGAAGTCTTTTAAGGCGTTAACTAATGTCGCAGTGCATCGACCAAAACGATGATATAGCGCGACAGCATCAAATCAACCAAATGGGCACGATCTACTCCTCGTCACAGGTAACTATAATCGCAGCCGCGGGTTTAGAGAAACTGAATGCAGATGCTACATACGGGCTTCCGGGTATCACCAAAGACTTCGAAACGCCTAGTTGTTGCGCGGTTTCTGATCGACTACGCTTCGTACATACCAGGTGGACCATCTGGCGTTGTATACAGTTGTCTAACTGGTATAGTCGAGGATGGACATTCCAAGAGGGCTTTCTGTCGAGAAGACGGATGTACTTCACCGACGTTGGCGTGGAATACATCTGTGACAAAGACCGCGGGAGCGAAGCCGCTAAAAACCTCGCTGCAACGCTACGCGACCCAACTCTAGAGCCGGGACTAGCCTACATGGAGCGAATGATGCACGAATACACAGGGCGCCGCCTTACGTATGATCATGATGCACTCAACGCTATTGTTGGTGCGCTCGACACGCAAGCAGAAGACGACCACATATGGGGCGTTCATATTGTTAAAGATGACATAGCCACGTACGTATTTCTGAATTGGCGACACCGGTACCCTCTCCCTCGGCGTGAGCAATTTCCCAGCTGGTCTCCTGTCGGTTGGCGTGGTCGAGTCGATTACTATTCGGAGCATCCTTGCATCTCAGACGAATGTTCGCTCCAAGTCTGGTACGAGGACGATTACAAGCCATTAGGCCATGTTACTGGGAAGCTATCACAACAACATAATCTATCAGGAGCGGAGAGCTCGAGGTTCCTCAGAGTGACGACTAAAATAATACCCATCGAATTCGTACATGTGAAAGGCATAGTGTCGGACGACTCGGACTATCGATCGGGACTTCATGCTAAAATCCAATACAGTGAATCTCTGGATCTATTCGTCTACGCTTTCTGGGATGCCAAGGACAAACCTGTTCTTCGGCGGAAACAAGGAAGTATTAAACTACCTTGCGCCGTAATCATTCGAAGAGCGGAGAGGCATTATAGACTGCGACACCCTACTCCATTCGAAGAAGAGATTCAGATACTCATCCTGCGTCAGCACGATACACATTATGAACGCATCGGATACTTCGCCTGGGACAGTTTCCTGCTAGACACCTATTCGTCGGACGAGGAACCAGGGGATAGTGACCAGTCGAGTGACGGTTCGTCGTCTTTTGACCCATACTACGAGCCAGAGGAGACCACGTTTGCTCTGGATAAGCAAGGTAATCAAGTTGCTTTCCATCTTTCTGAGGAAAATCCCCGAAAATATGGAGACGGTAGATACTGGTTAAAGGACGGGATTGAGACCACCTTCCTTTTGGGCTAGTCGGGCAAAGCAGTCACGAAGGAACACGGATACATGCCGCACACATCGTGTCGAGAACGCTGTCGCTGATTATTCATGTGCTTTTCATTTAGCGGCTTTAGAGGTCGTCCTTCAATAACGCGACAATCGAACTGCGCAGCGAGTTCTACACACATTGTCACCGTCGCGCAAACTCTCCAAACACTGATCCACTTATCCTTTCTGCGAATTCATTTTCATCACCGCAACTATCCTGATTAGCCTTGAAACCGTCGCAATAAACGCCTCAATGCCGCTAACTTACGCACTGGAGCCTCTGGGAGCTGAACATGCATCCATTCAGGGTCACCCGCTGGCAACGCAACCACCATTTTATCTGTGACTCATCAGTTCAAGAGAAGGCATATTCGAGCGAAGCGAAGACTTACCGGGGCCGCATCGCAATACATCCTGGTTGTTCTCGCGAGCATACTCAAATTCTGGCATCGATCTAGAGTCGTCGACCCATGATAGAGGCGTGGGTGTGGTGTTTCCGGTGTCGCTCTCGATGACACCCATAGACCAATCTGTACCCCAATCTCTACTAATTAAGCGGCCACCCACTAGGTTGAAGACTGCGGCGTTCTTGAATTTACCGAGGCGTACTGGATACGCGTTCTCGGGGTTAGGGTCGTACCTGCTATAGGGCATGATGAAGCGACCGTTGACCTCAATGATGAATGCGTTAGGAAGGTCGCGATTACCCATGTTGATGATCCTCTGGAGATGTGGTCGTCGGGTAAGGATTGGAAGAATCCGATGTGGGTATGATGATGAGGATCGGAAGCTTGAGTGAGCAGTCTTTATGCACTTGATGTGCCTGCATCATGTCCGCCAGCGTCCCGGGAGGCAGCGAATCTCTCGTCATGCGTGTTGCGCACCGTTTTGCGTAGAGTCTGCTTGTCTCACAAGCCTCCGGCGTCTCTTCGCCATTCGGGGTGGCCGATACGTGGATATTTCTTGGTGCCGTCGCAGCGCAAGACAAAGAGAACCACTGTTTTTCACAAAGAACTGTCGATTAGGACCGTCGATTGTGGATATATCCACAGCGCGATGTGGTATCCTGAGCCGACTAGTGCGGGCGGCATGTAAGCACGATTGCACGTCGTGTATCGTCAACTCGGGCATATATAAGACGATTCGTCGACTAGCTCCGGATGAATAGAAGCTAAAGAAAGCACACCTGCGAATATGCTCGGGTTGGGCCGCAACGAACTGGTGGCTGGTATTGGTGATCATGAACGACGTGTCGTGTCAGAGGTGCCACCGGGGCATGGTCGAAGATCATGAACATGATAGGCGCGGGCACACAAGTCTTAAACCCGGTGACACAAGATCTTCGGGAGCAACACGATCGTGGGCAACCGAAACGATTTGGGCACGGTGAAGTTGAGAGCTGCAGACGCTACGGATGCAGGTGCGCTTTTGACGATGACGACCCCGCTCTCTCGCTTCGTGAACTGCAAGCCCATTCCTTTGTTCTTGCGCCCCTTCCTGGGTTACCATGCGTAACACAAAGATAGCATTTTCCCCATAACACAAGTCTCTACCAAAACACAGATTGATGTATTGCAAGCTGCACACCCAGACAACGTCGCTAGCTGTATACATCACGAAACAAAGGAGCGTCGCTCGATGGACGCGGTTCGGGAGAATAACGCTACACGGTGAGAATGCCGCCTGAGCTGCTGGAGCATGAAGTTGGTCTGAGCTCAGCACGTACACACCCGCCGATGAACGACAACCTAACCCCTTCCTACCTTACCAACAAGACTAGTAATGCCACGCACTTCTGACGAAAGATCCATGTGACAACAACCTCTCGCAACCGCTAAGCCTTTGTCTCCTGCCAGTGCAACTTTGTCCCAGGCCCTGATCAAATTAGTCAACAGCCATAAACCAACACTCCCCAGAATGCGCTGCTCACCAATATCCATACTCGGATGACGCGCATACAACCTTGTCTGCCCATCATCGTCGAGCAGTGCCCCAAGAGGAAAGTCTACACCACAGTCAGCCAAAAGTCGCGCAATCAGCGCCACCAACATACCAAAAGACTCGAGTTGAACATCGTCCCCCTCCCCCATATACTGAACCGACTTCACCTTATCAAATTGACTCGCCCAGTACATAGGCAGAGGCTCGAACGTGGTCGATGCCTCTTGCAACCACCGGCCCACAACAAGAACGCCGACTTCGTTGCGGCTGAGTAGGAGACCATTCTGCAGCGTGAATACCGCAGCTTGACCGCGGTCTCCCATGTTAACGGGGTACTTTTCCTCCCTATTGGCCGCTAGATTGGCAGTTTCGGTATCAGATAACGAACGGACGAATTGACCGTTGAGTTCGATGAGGAAGCGGCGGTTTAGGTTTGTTTTCGCCATCACTGCAGATGTGTTTTCGAAGGCAGAGATAGGTGATGATAGACGACAAGGTTCGGTGCATCTCCGTTGGTAGACAAGTCAGCTTTGTATGTATTTACCTTGGTAGTACGAGGCACGTAGCTCGAAGAACGTGGTGGATAGCTAACCCGTAGCAGTAAAGCACATGATACCTGAATAGATGCGAATAGCGAACGCAAGCCAAAAGCAAAGCGCCTTCCAGCGAAATGGGCTGTCACACTCACACACTTCATGCATGATGTGTCTTAGCTTTGGATGAACAAAGAGCGGCAAGCAGCGCCCGTCGCAGGTGGAGCTGGGTTCTACCATGTTTGCCGTGTAGTACACACTTGCAGGTCAAGCTGAGCGTGCATGAGCGCGCTACCCTATACTGATTACTACCGTCATTTCGACTGACTAGACCTTCTCGCGCCAACACATCAAGTTTAATCCGAGCTTCTCCACCTCCATTAACTTGTATTAAATTAGTCACCAGCATCAACGCAGATTCGCATGCAGCATGCAAGCATTGATTCGTTTCCATTGGTAAGATGGCTTCACGACGCGTTACACGACTACAAAAGCAAGCGCCACAGCAATACTCACTCGGTTCACTCAAAATGCCAAGAAGATAGTATTGTTGCAAAGGGTATTGTCGCATTGGGGTGACCGTTCAAAGTCGTCACTCATTATGTTATCAACTCACATCTATCTTACCATCTTACCAACACATGTCTATCCACCAAACACACTTCTCTTGAAATGCGATGCGCGTCTACAACCTCTCCTTCTGGAGACCCTTCCAGCCCCACTCTTGTGCAATTAACTCCGCGGCACGCTCACCGATACCCAGCACAGTCAACATGGGGTTGATGGTGGGCATCTCGGGGAAACATCCGGCATCCGCAATCCTGACGCCCTTGAGACCGCGAATCTTCAACTCAGGGTCCACGACAGCCATCTCGTCCTTTGTCACGTCACCCATCTTGGTTGTGCCAGCGGGATGGTATACAGTGTGTGCGACGCGGCGACCGTACTCGGAGAGCTCTTCGTCGGTGACGACCTTCGGGCCAGGCGCGACTTCGCGCTTGATCCAGTTGGAGAAAGGTGCTTGCTTGGCGATTTCGCGGGCGGCCTTGAGACCGGCGACAATGGTGGCTGCGTCGTAGCCCTCGGGGTCGGTGAAGTAGCGGAAGTCGAGCGCGGGCTTGACGGTGGGGTCGGCGGAGGTGAGGTAGATGCGGCCGCGGGAGCGGGGACGGGGGATGTTGGGCGTCATGCAGAATGCGTCGATGGGGGAGTCGTAACCCATGCTGGTGATCATGTTAGTTGCAGCGCGGAAATGTGGGGTTGTTGGGCTTACCGAGCAGTGTTCAGGCAGAACGGGATTTGGTAGCAATGGGCCATGATGTCGGCAATGTCGCCGTCACCGCCTGCCGCATTGGGGATCTCGCGGCGCAGGAAGATACCGGCGTCAGAGTCCATGGTGGTCTGGTTTGCGGGTACGGGCTTGTTAAGCTCCCAAAGGATGATGCTCTCGGGGTGGTCCAGCAGGTTCTCACCAACACCGGGAATGTCTTTTACGACAGGGATACCGAGGTCGGAGAGTTGCTGCTTGGGACCAAGACCGGAGAGGAGCATCAGTCGCGGGGTGTCGACGGCGCCTGCGCAAAGGATGGTTTCGCACTTGGGGTTGAGGGTGAACTTCTCGCCGCTTTGGAGAGCGAGGTCGATGCCAGTAACCTTGTCGCCCTTAACGTTGACCTTGCTGACCCAAGCGTTGGTGAGAACAGTCAGGTTGTCGCGCTTCTCCTCGCCGCGGAGGATGGGGTGGATGTAGGCGACACTAGCGCTGCTCCGGCGGCCATCGTCGGGGTTGTATGATACGGAGAAGAAACCGACGGAAGGCTTGAGGGCGCCCTTAGTCTTGATTTCGTGGTTGAAGTCGTGGATTACGGGAATGTCCATGGCGGTTGAGCACGAGTCGATCCAGTCGAGGCAGAGCTGGTTGCGGTGCTTCTCGTGGACAGGCTGGACGGTGTTGCGCAGGTTGTCAAGCACGCGCATGAAGGTCTTGAAGCTCCAGCCCTTGCAGCCTTGGGCTTCCCATCGCTTGCAGTCGTACTCAAACGGCCTGAAGGAGATGAGGGTGTTGTGTGATGAGCAGCCACCGAGGACCTTTGCACGTGAGTGTCGGATGTGGGAGTTGCCGTTGGGCTGTTCGGTGGTGCCGTAGTCGTAGTCGAGCTCTCCTCCGAGAAGGTTGAGCCAGTCCTTGAGCAGCAGCACGCGGTCGTCCATGAAGTCGCTTGGGCCGGCCTCAATCAAGAGGACCTTCTTGTTGGGGAGATATTCGGTGAGTCGCGAGGCGATGACACAGCCAGCTGTGCCTCCTCCGACAATGACGAAGTCATACTCAGCATCCTTGGGGATGGAGGTCACGGTCTCGAAAGCCATTGTTGCGTGTGGGTGGTGGGCTCGGGGTGATGGCGAGAATATACTTCTGCTAAAGAGAGCTTTTCACGTCAGGAGCAAGCTTATATATCCACGCGGACTATCGCTCGAAGGAGACGACGTTGTCTAGATGGGCCGGGCGTCGCGATCGGGCGGTCGGCAGAAGGTCGGAGCAGCAAAAGTGAGCTGAGCTGGCGATGAGGCTGGGGAATGGAGAGTCGTGCGCCGCTGCAAGATGTGTCGTTCGCCTTCCAGATAAGACTGTGCTAAATAGGGCCGTTTACGGTTGGACCGGACGCGTGCACGTGCGTACCAACGCCTCAGGATGAGCGATGTTGCGACGGGTGCGAGGAAGGACAGGCGATGGGCCGAAGGGGAAACTAATGAAACGCTGTGAGCAGGTGGTAAGTGTGATCGATCAATTGCGTCCAACAACGACTATAATGGTGTTGGTGACGACGTGGCTATGGCACCCGTGGTTGCCAGTGAAAGAAAAAAAGACGTCGTAAAAGCGTCCGATGATGTGATGGGCGCGTTGGGCCTAGCGCGACCCCGCTGGGCTGCAGCTTCCGAGCCGGCCATCCCTGTCGGTCGATGCCGCACCTTCCCCGATCTCTGGGCGGTGAGGGCGGCAGCCATCGGAGCGACGTTTTTGTGCCAGACAGCAGCTGCGACAGGAAACGACGCCATCCCGCTGAAAAGCGAGCGCTGCTGCTTTCTCTATCTTGCTCGCACCCCTTGCATATCCCTCAGCTGACGTACCCCTCGGCGACGTTCCGAAGGCGAAGGATTACTGATCGTGAAAGGAAGTAGAGGCGCAACAGCTGCATCCGCTATCGCCCATACAAATGTTCGTTCACGTTACATCACCGCGCCAATCTTGACCACTTGGCTGACACGCGCAGATCAAACTGTGCATAAAGATTCTCCCGGCACATTTCGCTCATCGTGACCATTGTGGCGACCAAACTCTTGCGACTCTGCGTTAACACCAGAAGCAACCTCAGGCTTATCCATTGCGCCAATAAGCCACTTACCATGTCTCTCCCATACGCGCCTAGATCCGCCTACTACGACGGCAAGCTTCAGTCAGGCGCTTCCACTTCCACCTTCCAGACGATTGACCCCGCGACCGCCCAACCCGTCGCAAACATCCACACAACCTCCAACGCTGGCATAGATGCTGCGATAGCCTCGGCGCAACGGGCGTTCCCCGCATGGTCCGCGACACCACCCATCGAGCGCGCGCGTATCCTCCAGCGAGCGGCTGCCCTGCTCCGCGCGCGCAATGACGAACTCGCCCGCATCGAGACCAGCGACACCGGCAAGCCCTTCTCCGAGACCTCGACCGTAGACGTAGTCACCGGCGCCGATGTCCTCGAATACTTTGCGAACCTCGTAGGCGGAGGTGGCATGAACGGCGAGACGGCACAACTACGACCAGGCGCGTGGGTGTACACGACTAAGAACTCGCTGGGCGTGTGTGCGGGCATTGGCGCATGGAACTACCCCATTCAGATCGCGCTGTGGAAGTCTGCGCCCTGTCTGGCAGCCGGCAACTGCATGGTATACAAACCTTCGGAGTTCACACCACTGCACTCCACCGTACTAGCGGACATCTACGCTGAAGCTGGTGTGCCGCCGGGTGTCTTCAACGTCGTCCAGGGCGGCGGTGAAGTCGGCGCATACCTCACCAAGCACTCCGGCATCGCCAAGGTCAGCTTCACCGGACAGGTCTCGACAGGCAAGAAGGTCGCAGGCAGCGCATCCGGCGAGATGAAGTACGTGACAATGGAGCTGGGCGGCAAGTCGGCATGCGTCATCCTCCCAGACGCGGACGTGGACCAGGCAGTCGACGGCGCAATGCTAGCCAACTTCTTCTCAACAGGACAGGTCTGCACCAACGGCACACGAGTTTTCATCCCCGAAGCAATGAAGTCGGAATTCGAGAAGCGATTGCTGGAGAAGATGCAATACATCCGCCCAGGCAACCTCCACGACATGGCCACCAACTTCGGCCCGCTGGTATCAAAGCCACACTACGAGAAGGTCATACAATACATCAAACACGGCCGCGACAACGATAAGGCAAAGATGCTATGCGGCGGCCCTGAAACTCCGTCATGGGTTGCGTCACACAGCGACAAATCGTACCAGAACGGCTACTGGGTCCAACCCACCGTCTTCACAAACTGCACCGACGACATGAAGATTGTGCGCGAAGAAATCTTCGGCCCCGTCATGTCCATCCTCACATACAAGACCATCGAAGAAGTCGTCCAACGCGCAAACAACACCGATGTCGGTCTCGCGGCGGGTGTCTTCACCAAGGATCTCAACCTCGCACACAAGGTTATTGCTCAGCTCGAGGCGGGTATCACATGGGTGAACACCTGGGGGGAGAGCCCGGCTGAGATGAGCGTCGGTGGCTGGAAGCAGAGCGGTGTTGGTGTGGAGAATGGGAAGAAGGGGCTTGAGGCTTGGGTCAGGAATAAGAGTACGCTTGTAGAGATGGGTGGCGCTGTGCCGACTGTGTTTGCGAAGTTGTAGAGATAGTTGTGGGAGAAGATGTTTGTATATAGGCAATACCATGGCAATGTATAATGAAGCCTGCTGACACTGCGTCATGCGCCTAGAACGAGCTGGCTCGGACCACAGCCCATGTCACCCGTCAGTTCACCACCAGTACTCCCACTTCCCCCCTATAGCGCTCCTCAACCCTAGCCATCCCCATCACTACACAGTAAGCGTATAAGTAACACTATCACACTTTCCATTAACAATCTGCCGATCCCCACTCGCCAACTGCAACAATCCCCTCCACGTCCCGCCATGCTGCATGTTGAAGCATGCCTGGTTGATGTTGTTGTTCGTCATGAATTCTAGGCCGCGCGTCACGGCGTCTTTCATGGTTTTGACTTCGGCGGTTGTGTCGCAGTTTTTTCCGGTTGTTGCCGCGTGGTATTGGTAGTTTACCCTGGGGTGATACGTTAGTCAATGAACATGGTTGAGCATGGTAAGGCAAGACGTACCCATCAACAGCACCGGAGATAACACCACAAGTATTGGCTTCACTCTGCGCCTTCATGAGATTGGATACGTAGGTCGCAATTGCATTCACGTTGAGTGCGACCATGCTACCTGCGCCCAGAATGGCGATTTGCTCCTCGATGGTGAGGCGTTTGGCGAGGTCGTCGCTGGAGTGGAGTGTTAGCAGGAGATTGGAGGAATGGTGTGGAAAGAGACTTTTGCGTCGTACGTACCTAGACTGTGTCTCCTCGCTCAATGATGGCAGAGCCTCTCGCTCGGGGAGGGAGATGGCCATGGCGTTGTAGCCGAGGCAGAGGGCGGTTGCGGCGATAGTTGAGAGGCGCATGATGGGCAGTGAAATGAGGATGTGTGGGATATGTTGTAAGGGTTGAGAGTAGAGTAGAGTAGTGATGGTTGAGTGATGAGGATGGTGCGGTAGAACTGGGTGTCTTGTGCGTTATATATAATCGCATATGGTGAGTCGTTCCGATGATTGAGATGGTGATAGTCGAGCACGGATTGACCTACTGCACGCCTTGAGCCATGATGATCAAGTGCTTGCACGCCTGATGACAGCGAGACAGGAGAGAAAAGCCTCACGATACGACCGAAATGTACTGGATAGAGGCAAGATGCTTGATTGGCAAGCAAGTAGACCGATGTTGTCTTCATCGCATCCCGTGGAAACCGCCCTACAACCCTGTATGTGTAAGGCGCCCTTCTTGGATCAGCGTCTATACAATATCAACCATGGTGTTGCACTTCGCCGTCTCTTAGGCGTTCCCTCATTAGCCTGTGCAGCGGTCCGATTAGAGACGTTGAACCCCATCTTTCTGCGGTGTTTTAGAAAGAATAGAGTGCGCCTTTGACTTAGACTGCGGTCTAGTCCTAGGTTAGGCTAGGTCTTTAAGATAGTACTTTAGTATACAGTATAATTACAATAGCTTTAATGTTGTTTGCTAGAGTGCTGTCTAGTGTGTTACTGCAGTACTGTAGTTGTTAGCAGAGCTAATAATTTAGAGAGATGCTGTTAGTCGCTAGTAACTTCTAAGAGAACGTTCCTTAGTTACGATAAGTTAAAGTTTTTAAGTGTAATAGTATATAAGACTATATACTGCTGCTATCCTCCTATTCTTCTGTACAACTCTAAAGCTTGCTAAAATAATTCTAACTATTACAATCTTCGCTAGTATTAACCTTGCTACATCTACACCTAAGCTAAAGCAGGGATTAAATGCTGCTAGAGCTAAGCAAAAGATCTACGAAGCGAAATTTCCGGAACTACAGTCACCTGGAGCGGTATTCTGCGGTGTTTCAGTAATCACAGCCCCCGCAAAGTTCCCGCGCTCAAAAATAGCTGCTTTGGGTAGACTATCTGCGTCAGCATCGCTCAGGCGTTCCATGTTTAGTCGTCGCGCATAGCCGCACGAAGGCTGTGTACCTAAGGCGTACCGGATCGGTCCGTAAAAGAACCCTACGTTTGCACCGACCGACCCTCCGGATCTTGAAACCAAGACAGATCAAGATCGGCATAAGCTTTCATGAGGCGGGCTTATTTCGACTGCAATACTCGATGGTGTACATGTACCGTACATCAGGCACCCCGCGATCATCTATGTCGGTCCTTTGGTACAGCGTTGCGGCATGGATTCACGTCGCCGTCTATCAAACTTGCTCTCTCATTTTGTGATCAAGGCGAGCAGTCTGTTTGGAGGCCTCATGGAGCTCAGGCCGACGAGGCAGAAACGGTTGTTGGGGGCTTGCATTTTGACACGGAGGGGAGGTAGAGCGCAGGTCTGATCTAGGTTGTGTTCATTTGAAGACGTATATAAGTAATCGATGCGTCGAGATAGAGGTCATCATCCCACCACAACGATTTCTCTCAAGTCACAATACACACCCAAAATACCCCTTTTGCTATACATCACTTATTCACGATGCGTTTCCAGCTCGCCCACATCTTCTGCCTCCTCGGCGCTGCAGAGTCTCTCGCCATCGGTGCCCCCGAGAAAGAGTACGTCCTCACTCACTCATTCACACATATCATCATTGCAAACCTCTAACACAAAAGCTCCAGCTACGCCCTTCTCGACACCAGGGACATCGCCTCCCCCCTCTCCCCCCGCACCGACATCGAAGTCGCCGCCGGCTTCGTCAGCCAAGGCGCAACCGCCACCCTCGCCATCGTCTCCATCGCCAACTACCTCGCCGTCTACATCAAAGGCCAATCCGACGTCAACAGCTGCTCCGTGATCTCCGGTAACGTCGACGGCGCTGTATGGCAATACTACGCTACTACCTCTGGTCCCAAGTGCGACACGACGTCTGAGTCGAAGACGATTAGGAACGCGGTGGAGAGGGAGTTGAAGTGGATGCAGGAGAATGGGTATGATGCTGCTTGCTTTAAGATGGACCATGGGGGTACTTGGGAGGGGCATCTCAAGATTGCGTTGAATGGGAAGCCGATTGCTAGTGACACGCAGTGCAACTCGGCGAAGTTTGTCAATTTGTAGATGTGTGGTATAGTGGGGATAGGGAACATGATGGGTGGCATGGGCTCTTATACAGGCCATCTCGTTCTAGGCGCATGAGGTAGTGTCAGCAGGCTTTATTATATGTTGTCATGGTTACATTTACATCGCATGCTTCTTCGTCTATCTATCCCCGTCTCTTACAAGTCTTCATCGTCGTCAAACTCAAACACTCGCGTGAGGCCATCGTCTTCCTGTTCGGCCTCCCGCTCCTCGACCTCTTCCGATCCCTCCGCCGCGAATTCCTGCTCTCCCTCCTCTTCACCGACTTCTTCCCGCATATCAACAGGCCCCCTACCCTCAAAGTTGAGCGTGCCATCCATCTCATGCGTCGCTAGCACATATCCCCCTTCCTCATCCACTCCTCCAGTGAACACCTGTCCGTCCCGTTCCCTTCTCCTCCTGTCCCTCCTTCTCTGCTCAGCCTGTCTCCTCCTTCTATCCCGCTCTTCCTTCCCTTGAATCCACCTTCTCATTGGTCTGGGAAGCTCATTCGGCATGACGCCTGTTTTCTCCATGCCCCAGGTGGTGAAAGAGAGGGCCGCGCGGTTGGTGGAGGAAAGAGTTGCTGCGCCGATACTCCACGATGCGCGACCGATGCCGGATGATGCGATGGCGCTGGCGAAAGAAAGGGTCGCAGTGGAGACTTCTGACAGCGCGGCGCTGGTGTCGTGGAGTGCGGCGGGCCAAGTGCCGGGGAAGGGTGTGGCGGTCGGAAGGGAAGTGGTTTGGGGCGATGGGAGGTCTTCCCAGCTTGATGAAGAAGACGAGGAAGCATATGCGGACTGAGAAGGGGTTTCGTCTTCGTCGGCATCGATTTGCGACTCAGCGGCGGTGCTGGTGCGGATATCAGCCGAGCGAGATCGTAGTTCCGGCTCCGCTTGCGCTTCCTCGAAGTCGCGTATTTGTGCAGCGCTTAGTGCTGATAGCATGGGCGCATCTTCAAACCCGTCGTGAGCGCTGTAGTATTGTGATGTGTGTGAGGAGGCCTCGCGTTGTTGGCGGCCTCTTGGAGCGCTATCGCCCTTTCCAGAAGGGTCGTTGCTGCCTACAGCCTTGCGTGGGCGCCCGATCTTGTCTACCATCTTAGATGTTGAGGTACACAATGAGTCCTGTGACTGCTCCAAGTGGTTTAATATTATTATAAGGTTGCTGACTACAGTTGCGCGATAATGTATCAGCGGAACGCGAAGATGGTGCGTGGAGTGTACAGAGGAGGAGGGTGACAGCACTTCGTATCGTGGTGGACGAGGTGGTGGTTGCCGTATGTGGTGAATGCGAGAACTTCAACGCGCGATTCAATCGGAATAGGGAAGTGCGAACGCCTGCGCCAACGTCACTGCCTTACGACAACGGGGAATCCGCGAGAAGATCAAGGAGGAGAGCTGGCGACCGAACGGGCAGAATGCGCATCGCCAAAACATCTTCACATTATTTGTCGTTTCGATCGCAGAACCATGGATACGTGACCAAAAAGCTGGTACAGGCTTTGAATATACGAGGCTGTGGTAGGTCAGTATATTAAAACTGTGCGCGTAGCACGAAGTTCTGCGCTAAGCGATCCATAGGTGGTGCGCCTATTAAATACGAAGATAGCGGGGCACGTTTGCTACGTCGGTTGCAAGTTCAAGCACCGAACGCGGTGTCATCGAAGTGAATGTGACAGCACGTGACTGCGCATCTACTCACCTCGTCGACCTACCCAGTGCTACAAAGAGGGGTACTTTCGCAATGAAGTGCTTGAATGCGCGATTTAGAGAAAAGTCGCGACACATTCATTGCTCCCGGCGTCGCTTGCGCCGACCTCGCGCTTTACATTGTGCATGCGGCCCATTACCACATAGTGAATACCTGCGTCTAGGCAATCACAACACGACCTCGATAAAAGACCGCAATACCCCGCTCTTGACAGATTAACGCGACAGCTCAGACCATCAGCCTTTATATACCACCCGCTATCTGCATTCTGCGCATTATCACAGCCGCTCGTATTCCAAAGCACACTTTTACTACTCGTCGTCAACACCGGTCTACTTCACACTCTTTCAAATCCACTCCAACGATGTCTTCCAGTCCTTCCAACAACCAGCAGGCTGCGCTCAAGATGCGCCCCGTCACCGGTAAGCACCTCCGCGCGCGTGTCTCTGTAAATCTTTCCATATACTGACATGTCGCACAGGAGCTTTCTTGCTCAAGCAGAGTCCTCATCATCTCTCGCATGACATCAAGGACATCCTCGAGAAGCATGGCGTCCAGCTCTCCCCGGGATGTTCTCAAGAGCTCACCCGATACCTCAACGACAAGCTCGAGGCGTACCCCATCCCTTTCGACCCCAAGCGCCCCAACATGCAAGCGGACCTCGACAACAGTGCTCGCCTTCGCGACAGGAAGGCTCAGCTCAAGGACCAGGGCGCAACTTCGAACTCACCCGCGAAGACACTTCATCGATCCAATCCGGACACCTTCTCGCGTTTCGGCAAGCCTCGCAACATCAACGAGTCTTTCATGGATATTCCGTGGAACGAACCAGCCTCGCGATCCATGTTGCAACCGCCGATGCCCGTCAGCGTGAACTCGCTGCTTCAGGGCTGGCCTCTGAAAGGGAAGTCAGTCGTAGCTGCGAAGACGCCGGTCAAGGTCGAGAAAGAACACTCTGTACAGGCAGAGATCCAGAACTCCGTCAAGTTCGCGAAAGAGCCTGCCGTCAAGGTCGAGATCGATCGACCCATTGAGACTAAGATCGGATCGGCCAACACCATGAGGTCGACCTCATTGAATCAAGGGCGCGCCGACGACTATCTCGATGTCGGTAAAGAAGATACCATCGAGCGCGCACCCCTCGCTATCACAAAGGACAACCTCGTCAAGGTAGAAGAAGGCTTTGGCAGCGACGTCCAGCGCCATGATCAGGTTCATCGCACGGTCGACTCCAAGTCTCCAACTGCACCCGCCATAAAGTCCGAAAAGGCCACGACCACGAGCGTCAAGCGCACCCTCAACAACACTTCCGAAGAGACGGACCACGACGCCGTCTCCTTCACTTCTGACAACCTCGGCGCTGTCAAGAAGACCCGCCCCGCTGTCAAGCAGACACCGTCCTCCGCACCCGCCATCAAAGTCGAGGACGCCACCTCCGGCTTCCAGAGCTCCGTCGGCTCCTCCAACTCTTCGGGCTTCCAGTCCTCGGTATCAGATGTCAAGCAGGAGTTCCAGGAAACGCCTGACACCACATACTTTGGTGAGTCGCAGCAGACTCTGGGCCGGTCACAGGGCCCTTTCAGCCAGACACAAGGGTTCTCGAACTCCTTTCCTCGCAGCCGCTTCGACAGTCAATCTTTCCTGAGCTCTCCCGGTTCAGTGATCTCACAGACTTCCGGACGTGTCGAGATCAATCCGCGTCGCTCTGCTCGACTATCCCAGGCTAAGACAACCGCCGCCGGCTCGTCAGCCCCGTCAGCTTCCGCCTCCTCAGCTCCTCCAGCTCCGTCGCCTACGCCATCTTCCGCCTCCTCTGTTGGTGTCAAGCGCCGTCGCTCCGCCAGCTTTACAGACGAAGTAGAGCAAGTAGAGCGCCAGGGTCGCAACAAGAAGTTCGTGACCAAGGAAGTCGTCGCGAAACAGCGCGAAGCTCGCCACAATGAAGATGCAAAGGACAACAAGCGCAATAGCGCCCAACGTCGTGCCTCGGTGCTTCGTCGTCGCCCAATCTAGAGAGCGTAATTGTGCAGGATATCTTACCAGTCGCTGGGCGGATCTCCCGCCAAAAACACCAGACCAGCGGTGGCCAACATACCTACAGCGCCAGTTCGTCAACCAACATCTTGCATGCATTGAAGTCCAGAAGGCCTTCATCGCTCGCCACATCTTCGCCGTGCTAGGACGACCTCCCTTCCGAACGAAAGCCAAAAGAGCTTTCCTCACCGACCTCCGCGCCCAGAGCGCGCGTCCGTCCGAGCTATCTCGACACCCATTCCGGCCGATCATGTCAAGAGAACATTGAAGGCCGCCGGTCGAGCTGGTGCAAAGTCCAGAGAGACATCACCGCCCAATCGGCCAGATGCAAGCTCAAAGAGCTCACCTCTACTACCCCCTTCGCCGCGCCCAGAAAGGCGCGCCCATCGGGGTCATACCTACTGCATTGGCTCAGCTGAATCCGTCCAGAGAGACTTGACAGCTGATGACCGAGATGAGTGACAGGCCCAAAGAGGCTTGAACCGCCGGTCGGGATGAGCGCAAGGCCAAAGGTTTTGACGATTTATCGGCCATCCAGCACCAAGATACTTGGTAGATACTAGCTGGAGATAGTTGGAACACAAAAGTGCTTCCATCACCCAGCTGCGATGAGATCAAGTTCACAGAAATGGCTTGGCTCATGCGCTACCCTCTCATCGACCTTTATCGTCGAGCGATGTTGAGTCGACTGGAGGTTCACAGGGCTCTCGACCATCGCTGTCGCACTGAGCGCAAGTCAAGAAGGCTTGCTCTACAGTTCTTTCATCTCTTTTCTGTATCTGGTTTCACGTTTGGTTGTTCTGCTGTTCTCGACTGCTGGCCAGCTGTCTACCCTTGTCTCTTCCTTTTCTTTCTTATTCCCTGCGTTACTGCGTTTGTCACAAGGACGTCCTGTCAGCATTTTTACATGTAATCAAGAAGTAAGAGTATAATAAAAGTTCAACGTTCATAAAGACAGTCAACGTGCGTCGATGCAAATGTGATATGGTGACTTCGGCTCTCCGCCCGCATATCCCCACCTCCGCATGCAGGTCAGATTAAAGTTTAGCGCACCAATGCGCCGTAAGCATCGCGACCGACTGCATGCACAACGGCTTTCCTCATTTACGGTGTTACGCCCTGGTTGAAGTCGCACAGCATTGGCCCGTCTTACACTTAAAGCGCATACCCCGCCGCTTTTACCTCAGCACAATGCAACTCCACTTCCGCTTCCTCACGGCCTTCGTCGCCCTCTTCGGTCTTGCTTCTTCCTTCACAATGTCCACTTCAACGCCCAACTCCACCGACTCAGCTCCGGTGACGCGCATAGCGACATTCCGCTTCCTTCCCAACGTCACCGCGGAGCAAAAAGGCGACCGCGCATCTGCTTTTCTCGCACTTTACGCTGAGCACCCGGAACTACTAATCGAAGGGCCGAAGGGAGGACGGCCGCTGAATACGCCCTTGAACTTGACGAATGTTAAGAGGGAGAGTGTCTGGGATTTGGGTTTCGTTGTAGTCTTCAAGGTATGTGGTGATAGGCGACGCAAGCGAGACGCAAGTGCTGACAATGAGTAGGATGAAGCCTCGAGACAGGTGTTCGATAAAGATCCCACGCACGATAGATTGAAGGTATTTGAACTCTCTGTCGTTGTAGTAAGAGTGAAGCTGACGTCGCGCAAGAATGAGACGGACCCGTTGCTCGAGCAGGTGTTTGTGTATGACTTTGTCGCGCAGCCGAATTTGGGGTGGTGACGGCGGCGGGGATGTCAGAATTAGTCTCGCATGGCCAGATGTCGTGTCGAAGTTTGCAGCACAGGAATAATCGTATCTTAACACCTAGACAATCTGTAAAGCCTTGTATGCACCTGGCGGTGCTGCCGTTTGCTCTGACGTATCTCCGTTCTCGGCGCTAGCGTATCGGATCTGCCTAGATGTTAAAAGGTCGACAGCTTCCTCACTTTCTCACTTACCCTTACCACTCTGCAATTGAATTCAGGATGGCGGAATCTTACCTCGAGCCAATGCGCCACCTCACTAAGAATGGCTTCGACGATGCGCGCTTGCTACTTCTTCAAGGCCTCAGTCGCGAGCAGCGCAGTGCCTTGATTCGGGAAGGTATGGAGCACTTCACTACTGACGAAGCATCCGTGCAGTTGTGTCTCTCCATGCTCGATTCGCTTCAACAACCACAAGAGCGGGCGACGTCTGAGCTAATTGTCGAAAGCAACGGTAAGAGATAAAGCATTGAGTGAGAAGTAGACACTGAATTGCTGTGTCACAGACTCCCGGCAGCCTAGCAACATGCAAGTCGCGCCCACACCCACAGTCGCCGCGCATATTCCCCCAACCTTCGGCATAGCACTACCGAGGCGCCAAACCAAACGGAAAGCCACGGAAAACGCAGACCCCTCCAACGACCGTGTTCATAAAGCGCCCGCGCTCAACGCGACAGGTAATGGTGTCAGCAGCCTCTCCAATGGAGACAAAGACGACGATGAAGACTGGGAGGGTACGACTGCAAGACTTAATAACGCTCTACGGGATGACGCTCCCGCGGTCGCCAACGCCGACATTAATGTCATCGACATACGCTCCACAACCCTGGATATACCCGTCCTGAGGATAGGCGCAATGGTCCCGAGCCTCAACGGTCGTGAGCGTTGGCAGCCTCTCAGTTATCTTGATGGCAACCGCGGCACCGATATCCATGCAAAATTCTTTGCCCACTTTGCTAACACAGAGGCGACGCGAGCCGCATACTCGGCAGTGGCGACGGGTCTCGCCGAAGGGTACAATATCAGAGGTGGTTGCATCAACGTAGCCGTGTGGCAGAAGGAAGGCGATCTATTCAATTACCAGAGGCCTGATAGGAACGGTGGAAGGGCTTGCGATACTTGCGTCCGTACAAAGCGACTCTGCGTGCGCGCTCGGTGGGAATGCCCAGTAGGCCTAAAGCTTTGCGTAATGCCTCTGCCCGACACTTATCGTCAAGGCAAGGCGTTGGGTTCCATTGATGCATGGGTCAACGAAGGATAATGGGCAACGGAACAAGTGCGCTGGAGTCTACACTAGTCTCAAATCGAAGATGGTGAAGATTGTAACGCGATGGAAACTTCTAAACCCCCTCCTTCCATTGTCTGCTGAAGCCTGGTGTCCAATGACGAGAATGTGATAGGTGTGGAAGCAGACGGAGGAGAGCTGGGACGCAAAACATGTAGCTAATGATGATCGGCTGCCTTTTGCGGCGAATGGTCGCAGTCATGGCGTTACAAGAGATAATCCAGTCTCTATGGTGATGCGCAAGCTTACCCTTGAGGTTGTCGTAAAGAGACAGGAGAATACAAAAGTGTGTGTGAAGGATGCTGGGCATGTGGATGCGGAGTCGCAAACCTTTGGTGTTCGTCGGTCCGAGCTTCAGACGATGCGCTAGTCGCTAGCTCGGCCGGGGATTGCCGCCGGTCTCCATCAACAAACTTCCGGTGCCGGCTATCCACCTCGCACCACAGCAACCCTCACGTGTGCGCGTCTACACGATGACGAGCTCGTATCTGGAGGCGCTGCTCATGCTGACCGGTAATGAAGCGCTCGCCGATGCGCGCATGAGGCTCATTGATGGCCTGAACTGGGAAGAGCTGGAAATCGTTGCCGTCGAAGGGATAACCGGATGTACCAACCGAAAGGTACGAGAGCGATTGGTCTGCGCAATGCTCAACATTCTCAAAGAGAATCCGAACGTCGAGCCGTTGACAGTTCCAAAGACTGGTAAATATAAGATCCTCGGCATATGAGACAAGAGCTCATGTACATTCACGCAGAATACCTGGGTTCCGCACCTGTCGCACATCCAGGCGCACTCCAGAAACACAATACAGAAACCATGACGGCAACAACCACGTCGGTGGCCAAGCGAAAGCGCACCGTCTCCGATTCGGATAGCGAGCCGCAGCAAGCTGCTTGGAAGGCAATCAAGAATGAGCCGATTCGTAAATCATCATGCAACACCATTGATCTACGTGAAGACGAGGACAAGGCCGAGGACACGAGTGACACGGATAGGATGCAGATGATTTTACGACAAAACGGCGATCATCCACCAATACTACCGAGGATTATCGACCTAGAAGAGCCTGTTAAAGATGAGGATGAAAGAAGTTCAGCAGCGCCACCAGTGATGCTGTTCTCGAACCAAAATTCTACGACGGATTTGAACTTCATCGAATTTCCTATCACATTTCCCGCAGGCTCCGTAAGCGACCCAAATCCCAGACTGAGAATAGGTATATGGGCTCCGGATCCCCATGGAGGTGGCGCCTGGCTACCTCTCCATAACCTAGCAGGTGGAGACGGTCGAGCGATCCACGCAAAGTTCATTGAAGACTACATTCCGCATTCGAAAACAGGTCAAATGTATCGGACAATAGTGGGATATACAGAGCGATTCATGCAGAGGGGAATGTGTGTCAACCACTATTTGTACCGCAGTACAGGCGCATCAAAGTACACTTCAGCCGAAGGAGACAAGGACAGGGCTTGTGACCATTGCAATGGCCGGATGCGTCTATGTGTCAGAGTCATCCTGGACGCCGTGGGCCCCAAGCTGTGCATATTTCCCTTGCACGATAAGTTTCGCGCAGGCCAGACCTCGGTGTCGCTCGGCGCGTATGTCAGAACTAACGGAGTCCCTTTCAAATTTGGGGAGGGGAATGCACGTAGACCATTAGGTATCCCGAGCTTCTCTATCTCCTAATGAGCAGTCACATGCGGCACATCAAGCGTCTCACAATGCGTATTGAGGAGCGAGAGAGAAGAGCAGCGCGATTGACATGAGCCACATCGGGAAGATCTACAGGCACTTACGAAATGTACATCCAGCGTTCATGCCGAAGCAACCACCCACCATGAGCTTCCGAACACACCATCCAATTTTCATCGACGAATCAACCTTCACCTCCTCTATTGTCTCGACAATGCCCCCGCGAAGTCCCACGATCCAAGCTGTGGAAGACTAAGGCTCGCCAATAAGATTGAGAGTATCGTTCAGACTTTTGCCAGAGAAGATACCAAAGTCTTGCTCGCACACCGTTCCTTCTTCCGGCATAGTCCCATTCACGAAATACGCAGCCGTTGCGGTAATGGCACAGGTCCCGGGGCTGTACATAACCGTGTGCTACCAATGTCGTTAGCGATGTTCTCTCCCGAATACATCACACCCGTCCATGAAGCCAAGCCCGTCCATGAAGCCAAGAAACGCTCTTCAACTTACCCCGAGACCATCGTGTCGAAGCACAACACTTCCTTCAAGTATCTTGTTCGCCGCATAAGCCCCAGAGATCGGAGTGCGGACGTCATATGGCGAACCGATGAGCAACACGGGGTTCTTCGTTTTCGCCTTGAAGTCGCCTTCGTACCGTTTTTTCGCCTGAATCTTCCACAGCGAGCACATAATGTACGAGCCGATAATGTAATCGCTGTTCCAATCACCCAACTCCGTTATATGCTGGACGCGTTCCTCGATATTGGTGAGCTCGTCGGCACGAAACATGGCGTCGGAGCAACGGATGAGCTGCGTGTTGTCTGCATTGATCGCTGCATCTTGCACAATGAAGGAGCGGTTGAGCAGATACTGAGTGTGGTTGTACTCCGGGGTCTCGCGGATCATGATGCTGTTGAGATAGCCTGCCAAGTAAGACCCAGATGCCAGGCCCATGCGCAGAGCTGTGTCACTAGCATCGGCGATCTTCTCGTATGTGACGATATCGGTTGTGACATTCGGGCCCATGACGATTGGCTCTCGCTTGGCTCTTTCGGTGAGGCTTTGGATTTGTTCGTACAGTGCGGAGGACGAGACGTTTGGGCGAAAGAGAGCGCAAGAAGCTCCAGCATCAATGCACTGTTTGGTAAACTGTCCCAAGGTAACTGGCGCGGTTTCAGCTGGACCGGTCTCCCTGATGCTCGGTTAGCCCGTTTCGCAGTCATCTGGAGGGGACTACGTACCATCCTTGCTGATATTCAAGTGGATTGAGTACACCATCAAGCATCATTCGGTCGACCTTGTCAGGAAACATGGCAGCCAGGACCTGGCCAAGATACGTGCCGTAGGATATGCCTGAGGTCGATTAGTTAATAACTATATCTACTGAGACTCCTCTTCAACTCACCCCAGTACCGGAGAAGACCATCCTCGCCTTCCACAGTCAGAGCATCAACAATCTTCATGAAGTCTCTGGCAACGAACGCTGTGCTCATCAATGATCCATTCACTGCCTCGTTCTGGAAACAGCGTGCGGCGTATTGCTTGGTGTAAGACCAAACAGCACCCAACGCTACATCGGATGAGTTGGTCCTCGTTGGTGTTCGCAAAGTCGCGACCATCCGTTCCATTTCGTCGTTGTAGCAATCTACGGGCATTGTCGTACCAGTCCCTCTGGGGTCGGGACCGATGATATCGTATTGGCCGCCTGTCATGCTGCGCAAGAAGAGTCATTAGCATGTCGCCACAGGGTGTAATCAGCGAGAGGCTACTTACGCAAGAACATAACGAGCTTGTTGCAGAAGCCAATCTGTTGCCGGCAAACCTGGACCTCCCCAGTTCGTCAACACACTCCCTAGCTTAGGCTCTTTGGTCGCTTTGACTTTCAGGATATTGAGGGTGAGTGTGTTGTTCTTCGACGGGGGCAGCGTGTAGTCAAGGGGTACAGCTAGCTTTCCGAGATAAGTGTCGGGTCTGCCCAGAACAGTGGATGCATCAGTCCAGTTGATAGCGACTTTTCCGCCATTCTCAGAGTATTTGGTGTTTCCAGAAGATGCTTGTGACGCCGTCGCAGCGAGGTTCAGGCATGCGTGCAACGCTAGGTAGAAGGTCGTCTTGGAAAGCATCTCGGTACGGTGGTTTCGACGGTTGGCGATGGTGTCTAGTAAGACATTGGGAGTTCATCGCAATATAAATACTTTTCTTAAAGTTTAAATTCTTACACGGTCAGCCTTGCAGATGCAACAGCAGAAGATGAGGCGTCTTTCGCGCAGTGCTAGTCGTGGGGGCCGCATCGGACCGGAGTCCTCGTCATGTTTAGACGTGATTCACGTAGCCATAATCTCATCGAATTTGTGAGTACTGCTGTTAGTGCGAAGTGTTAGGCGGCAATAGCCAGCAAGAATGAAGGCACAGCGCAGACGTAGCTGGTGTGATTGACGTGTACGAGATAGGGTTTATGATGCGCAACTATACTGAAACGGACTGCAAGATGGCCAAGCTTTCTTCGTGGTCGATGCTCGATTTTGAACTTCTCGCCATTTCGGTATAGCCTCAGGAATGCACAGAGGTCGCCTGTGGTCAGCGCTAACCCTTTTGGGAAGTCAGAAAAGCCAAGACGAACATCCACGAATGAGAAGAAGCAGTGGCGCCGAAAGCATCCTGGAATTGGCATTGGCCAGCACTTGATGGCGCTTCAGTTTCTTGCGTGCAGTCAGCTCAGCTCGCAACTTTACTGCCGAAATAAGACAAGTGCACATGCACTTCGGCATCTCGATGATCCATCGATGGTAGATATCCCGGTGATGGGAAGCGCTGAAGTATGCAATGATCGATGATTCATTCAAACTAGATCCAAAGCTTGCCTAAGCAGTCAACGGAATCATCCTTCTGTCGACCGATGCATGAACGTCGGGACCGCATCGGTTCGTCAAGAGAATCAGCAGACGCCCGCTGGCACAAGAGTTGTGAGCCTGCACATTAGTCTCATTAGTGTATTGCTCTAGAAAGGTTACTAGTGAAGCACTTACGGCTCATCAAAGCACTTATTCCAACCAGGTTTCTTCCGCCTCCAGTATCGTCGGAGCACTTCCCGCGCCTTCAAAGGACTGTTGCTACCAAGAAGGCGGGCATGTTCTTCCAAGTGCCTTTCAATCCAGATCCGAGTGCTTTGCTGGACGTGATAGCCTGCTTCCACGCCAAGCACACACAGTGGAAATGTCGATATCTTCTTGAGCTGCTTCAAGGGCGTGGCAGCCTTCAGATCTTTGAACAGACGATCGCGATGTCGCATTCGCATGCGATCCATCTCTGTATTGCGGGGAATAATGTCAACAGCTTGCAAGGACATTATGCAGTAGAGTGCGATTGCAGACTGCCAGATCGATGCGATTAGCTGCCAGTCATCTTTCTGATCCCAAGACTGCGCCCATTTTCTTGGTACGAACAATTCGATGCGGGAAAGAATGCTTTGTGCATCTTTAGCATACTGATGCGTATCCACGATGGAAGTGAGGCTGAGTTCTTGACGGAGGCGGTTGATGCGGATGATCTCGATGAAGAGACTTGACGGACACAGTGTGTAAGGGAGGATAAGGCTATAGACCTTCTCCACTTCCTCGATATGCTGTTCGAGTGGCTCAGTGATACTGATCTGATGTGCTGCTGGACCAAGACTGTTCGAAAAGGTTACGATGCTGCATGGTGTCAGCCAGATTCGTCGCAATCGTCGTGTTATACCAACAGTACGAATATCACTAGCGCTGATGTCATGTGAGGTACTGTGCGTCGTAGTGATCCAAAGCCACCGCGCATATCTATCAATCGCTTCATACCATCTGCATGCGACCTCCAGTCGACATCTGTGGAGCTATGTACCTAAGAGAACCATCAGCCTTTTGGACCCGCACGTGTCAGATATGTCAGAGTGTACCTCCATTGCCATGAACATGAGAATGCTGGCAATTGTCTGATCACTACTGCGGGTTTCTTTCCTCGCGACATTCTCGTTGAGAGCGCGTATAGCAAGGCCTCGATAATGGCATATCTTTACGCGATTATCTGCAACGATCGTACGGTCTTTGCCAAGAGGCAACGAGGTCAAGTGATAGTTGAGACTCAGGCAGATAGTAGTGTAGTGCATTGGTGGAGCAAGTATATGCAAAGCCCATACTGGGAAGTGCACCACTGCTGGATTGGGTGCTAGGCAGTCCGTCTCTTGGATATCCGGGTAAATCCTAGTGTTAACTATCGGACTTAGCACATGCATTCAGTTCGGCGTTGCGCACATACAGTAATTGACGGCCTGTACCACATCGTGTGTCTCATCCGACAAGAAATCGTACGATGGGAGTCTGTTCATCTCCATGATCTGCAGCAGTCTCTGTATCTTCGCGAGAGGCCTCTGGTTCGACTGGAGAAGTAGTGCGGCTTCCCAGTGCTGGCCCCTTTCCACTACTTCCTTGATCTGGTCTTTGTTGCCGATGCACATGATGCGTTCGCCTACCCCACAGCCCACTCCGGCCTTTGCAGTTGTTAGCTCAGTGGGGTCTACCTGCTCCTCGATATCAAGGTCGTGCCACCATGCTGGCTTGTCTTCTTTCACCAATAAGTTGGCAAGTTGGCTCTTCGACAATTCGATCGCCTCTGGGGTAAGCTGAAGCTCTTCGGAGACCAGCCACGAGCACCCTCCTTGTCTGAGGAGATCTGGTAGACTTGCGTCTCTGGATTCCCCGGGATCAGCAACTGGTCCATTTGGTATAGCGGGTGCGAGTCTCGCGGAGTTTGCCGTTCTGACGGCGGATGTTGGTGGCCGGCATTCCTTCTTCTTCTTCTTTGGACGGATCGTCACGTGTCCCGGTTCCACCCATTGCAACGGCTTCTGGTCGTTATATCCTGGGCATCCCTTACCCGTCTTGGTACATTTTCTGCATAGCGGCAAAGTGCGATCGCACACCAGGCGGCGTTTGAAGCACTCCCAACATTGACGGGCCGCTAAGCTGTCGCCGGGTTTAGCGTCCGACATGACGTCATCGATGTCCAGCGGCTTGAGATATCGCACAAAGTGATCTCGAATTGACTCGATTTTGACTTAGTAGGAGTCTAAACGGTCGATGCAAACTCTTCAACATCTTTTCAGTCGTATGTAAGCGCTCGATGCGGGCGGGGCATGGGCAATGTCAGCAGCCAGATGCTTGGCCATGTTCCTGCCCGAAAGCGGACAAAGTAAGAACAACAGCCACCACAGCCCACTGTACCACAGTATACCGTTCGGGTTGCGCTCGCGACAGCTGTCGCTTTGCCTTCGAGACCGAATTCCGAAGCTCTCACCTCGGCAGTTGGACACCACCTTCAAACTAGCACGTAATAGGATGCCGCTGGTGGTGTGTCACGTGCTCACGTGTCCGCTTAGTCCCGCCCGGGCGGTGCCGTTGCATGGCGGTCACACAACAGCATGGAGACAAACATTGCGTGTAACGAAGATATACAACAACAAGTTCTCCTTTACACAATAGTCTCAGCGTGGGTGGTTTCAAAAGCTGGTGACACCGACTCTATCCCACTGACGCCTTCGCTGGGCCATCACTTGTTTCTTGTCTACCCACGAGTCATCGCAGGAAACACGTTTGCGTCGCGCCGCGTAGCAACCAACAACACAACAGGGCTCTGTCTTCCATCACCACCAAGCATGTCATACTACGATAGCGATCTCAAAGCCGTACTCGCGCAGTTTCACAGCCAATCAGACACCGACACGCGCAAGGACATACTCAAGAAACTCAGCAATAACCAGCTGTCGCGTGTAGTCATCCAAGGCGTGAAATGCGAGTTCGAAAGAGAAGGATTAGAGGAAATTGCGCTAGCCATGCTCGATGTCATCTCCAGGGATCCGCACTCGAACCTTGCGCATAATGTACATGAAGAGAATGGAGTCGCGGTGAAGCATGAAGAAGCCGATGGGGAGTGTGAGGTCGTGATCAAGATGGAAGAGCTAGAGGACGACGACGGGGTCACCATGATTAAATCCGAGTGTAAGACTGTATAGTTATCCCGAGACTACCGTAACATATGCTAACGACGACCTTCCAGCACATGACAACGAGCTTGCCCCAGACCCGGGCCCGTCAACGATAGCATCAGTGTCCATCAATCCGAACCCCAAACGAGGCCGAGGAGCGCAAGATCACCCCGGTACTTTCAAGGAGCGGCCAACGCATGCAGAGGGAACTGAATCAGCGTCCAGAGGTTCTATGCCCAAGTTTTACCCTCGTGGTTACGGTCAGATCGGCTACTTGGAGAGGACGCGCAATCGAGGTGCTGCACGAGGTCCAATGCACGAATTTTACCCTCGTGGTCATGGTCAAGCTGCCTACTTGGAGAGGTTTAGCAATAGAGATGCTGCTCAGGCCCGCTATCCCTTCTTAAACAGGCCTCGCTGGCGTGTATGAAGCTGCTATCCGCCGTTGACATGGAATTCTGGCAAACAGACCGCAAGATAGATTTCAAATACGAGAGACCCTACTCCAAGGGGCGTGATCCCTAGTCTGCGATAGCTAGTAGAGGAAGGAAGGATACGGCGCTTATGATGAGTTCGTTGATGAATATTGGTCTTACACCGTGTTTGATTCTTTCTGCCTGATTTGATAATCTTCATCTTCTGCCAATGCGTGCGCGTCACCTCGTCCGTTTGCACTTTCCCAACCCGCGCGTCACCACCGCTAGCTCCGTTGCGCCGCGCCGCGCAGTCAACCGCAACACCGCCTTATCCTTCACCTTTCATTCTACATCGCCTTCCCATCAGCATTACCCACCATGTCGACAATCGATTCTTACCTCAAGGCCTTGCTGGCGCTTTCCGGCAACGAGCAGCTTGCCACACCCCGCCAACATCTACTCCAAGGCATCAATGACGACGACCTTTCGGAACTCCTGAAGAAGGTCGTGGGAAGAGAGTTCGCCCGCGGCGGCTTGGAGGACATCGTTTCAGTCATCTTGGACGTCATCGCTAGGGACCCGGCTTCAGTCAACGGTGACGGTGGCTGTGTCGCGACGGCTAGCGTCAAGAGTGAGCAACCGCACGGAGATGACATCCAGCAGCCATGTGAGTAGACTGAGCCCAGTTTTGAGAAAATTCACTGAGTATACAGCAGCAGAGGATGAGATCATCACGATCAACAATGATCCTGGAACAGGCCAACCAGCAGTAGAGAAGCGACCGACTACGTCGTCTTCCGGCACCCAGATTCGCAAGCGATCCAGGCCCAATAAGACTCCTGTAGCCGCCACACAAGCACCATCCGCCAGAAAGGTGACGCTTCGGTGCTCGACGGAGCAGGTGATAGACGACAAGACCGTTCCACCTATCGAGATTGTCTACTACAAGGGATGGGATTACGATGATATGAAAAAGAGGATCTACCTTCCATTCGTCCCTGAAAGCAACTTGGGTGCTCTGATCATTCAAAAGTTCGACAAGGACTTTCTCTCCACTGATCGCCACGTGTCAGAATGGGGCAAGCTATTGAGACTGCGAGACAGGAGAATCGATAAGCGTTGTTGCGTCAACTTTCAGGTCGCTCAGAGGAGTGATATGGCAATTGGGGCAACCCGTGAAACAGAGCAAGCGTGTAGACGCTGCGTCGATTTGAAGCGTTTGTGCGCTCGGCTGCTCATGATCGATGGAGTTATCAAGCTCGTCTTCCTGCCCTTGCCTTACGACGCGCTACATGATGTAGATGCAGACGACATGGAGTATTGGGTTAGTTCATAGGCATCTTAAATGTATGGTGTTAACACCACAATCCATGTATAAAGATCTTCGCCATTTTTATGTATACTATGATGAAGATATTAACAACAAGACCTATCCTAGACGTATACATGGACACCCAAGTTTACAATCGAAGACGGAAAAGAGATTGTGGCTTTCTGGGGTACACTTCAATCAATGGCTGTGTAGATACAGCTCATGGCCAATACACTCCTCCTTGCATTAATCACCGAAAGATATTGAGTAAAAAGCTCAGCAACAACTTTTACCTTCTAGTAACCGTGCAAAACGTTAATATATGGACATCAAGATGTGAGAATCGATGCGCAAGTAAAGGTGCGCTCGTCGCCGTGTCACTCACCGACTAGACTAGCGCCTATCAGACACCCGTTCACCTCGTATTCTCTCGCCAGCCTCTTCCCCATCTTCCACACTCTTTACCTCCACAAACTCTCGGCAACCCCATTCAATCCACAAAATCGCCATGTCAACAGTCCAAAACTACCACGACGCGCTCTTGGCCCTATCCGGCAACCCTGCCCTCGCAGCTGCAAGAAGTGGTCTTCTTGTAGGCATGAGCGGCGAAGAACTCATCGACGTCATCACCTGTGGACTCAAGACTGGCATTTCTAGAGATGGCCTCAATATCATCGCGGCACAGTTGTTTGACGAAATTGCAGCGGCTCAAGCAGGCGGCGTGGTAGCGCCTGTGGAAGACAATAATAGCGGCGACGTCGCTGATGACAGCGACGATGTTGTTCGCAACAAAGGCCGGAATCTTCGCAGGCGTGCAAAACGCGGAGGCAAAGGTAAGTGCAAATCAATCAGTCGCGATATAACGGCTAACAGTTGGACAGAGTCGCGACCCGCACAACTTCCACAGTCACAGCCAGCCCAGACCCCAAGACCAAGAGCAACCCGATCATCAACTACGAGCGCGAAGAGAAGAGGAAGCAATCTTGCGCAAGCAGGAAAGAGGACAAGAACCGTAAGCCTAGAGTCAGAGGCGGAGGAAGAAGACCAGGTCCGGACACAGATTTCAGATGAGGAGGCGGAGGCGGATATCGTTGTCGGTGATGAACCAGAAGGAGATGCCAATGCCGCCGCCGACACCAACGCCGACACCGATGCAACCACCGATGAAGCTGTACCCATACCCTGGAAAGAAATCCAAGAGTATTCAGTCATGTTCGATCTGAGCCGCATCGACAGCGAAGATGGGTGCAGCAGTGACGAAGACTATACCGAAGAGTTCGCTGATACAGAGCTATGGAGCGGAGGTAGGTTCAGAACTACAACCGAAAGTTCACTCATGCGCAACATCGATGTGGTTTTCCGGGTACCTATCGGGGAAGGCTTCGAGTTCAAAGAGCTGGACGAGTTCCCCATCACATTTGTCAAAGAGATGACACGCAAGTTCAACAAAGACTACCTCAGAAAGCCGAAGCACAGGACGCAGTATCGGAAGATGATGAATGAAGTGGACGATGCGGACACATGTGTATATCGTCTACTCAACGCACCCTACCCACCAAAACCAAAGGTAGATACTCCTGTTCAACCGGAACCGAAACCGAAACCATTGTGGGAGCTGGATGGACACGAGTTATTGGAGAGGATGTACAATGAAGAGAGAGAGCTGTCTGAAGAAGAAAAGCAACGGATACAACAAGAACAGAAGCAAAGCCAGAAGGAATCAAAGGAGAGGGCTTGCTCTGCTTGTTATCACCACAGGAAGCTGTGCGCTAGGTTCATGAAATCGGATGAGGGTGAGCCCAGGTTGGTGATTTACCCGTTTGGGCCTGCAGAGATAAATGGTGGAGACTGGCGGGGTATGCGGTTCTGGGTACGCCAACCTGAACGGGAGCGTTGTTAAAGCGATATGGTTCTTGGCATCAGGATTAACGGAGCTTGAGCAACCTCGTGGATTGCTTCGATACATACCGTTGCATGCGATAGGAACTCCAGGATTTCAGAAACACATTGCTTCGATATCCATGAAAGTCATTCTCTTCCACCTAGTCTTCCCTCTCAGCTCCAAACCTAAACCTTCCGCCTAACCAACCCCCTAAAAAAATCAAAGCTATTCCCATCACTCTGCACCTGCACCACCCTCCCCGTCCCGCGTCCATCCACCTCCCTAACCTCCTCCGCAAGCAACAACCCCCAATCCCTTGTAATCCCCTTGATCCTCGCCTTCACCGCACCCCCACCACTGTACCCACCCACCCCACCACCACCACCACCCTCCACACTCTCCAAGGTCACCAACTGATCCGTGTGAAGCCAGTTGGCGTAGTAGAATTCCTCCATCTCCCTCGTAAAACCACTCTGCGTAAACGTGCTGTAAAGAGTTTCAAAATGCGCAAGTATACTCGCCAGCAACTTCTCCGGGGTGAAGTCCTTCAACGGCGGCGTACACCCCTTGGCCAATTGATTTAAACTCGTAGTCGGTAACGCGTTACTAAGGTTGAGACCAATCCCCGTAACAACATCATAAGTAGAACCCGAGTAACTGCTATTAACCAGTATCCCGCCGATCTTCACAACGGGGTTGTTGGCCGAGCCGGGGAGTTGCGCGTAGATATCATTCGGCCATTTTAGTTTTACGGGGATTTTTTCGTAGCCGGGTGCGTAGTTCTGAATCCCCTGTACAATAGCCAGCGCAGCAAGATACTGTATAAACACCACGGGCGCGGATTGGCTGAGTGTGAAGGAATGGTGCAGCACAGTACTAAACATGAGTGCTCCCGGCGGCGCGATCCAAACGTTGTTTCCGCGGCCGCGCCCCGCGATTTGCGTGGTCGCTGTTATGGTGAAGCCGTTGGGGAGGCTGCGTAACAAGGACGGGTTCTTCTCGAGGAGCGTGTTGGTGGATGTTACGACGTCGGCGTAGATGAGGTGTTTGCCGAAGGAGGCGTTTGGGTTGCGGAGCTTGGTGTGGTAGTGGTGGAGGTTTAGGTAGAAGGATTCGTGGTGGAAGGGGGTTTCTTCGGGTGAGGGGAGGGCTTTCGAGTGGGGGACTATGGATTTGATGATCTTTTCGTAGGAGACGATTTGGTCGGGGAGCGTGGTGGATGTGTATTCGATACACTCTTGGATCTCTTCTTCTGGGGTCTTGGGGGGCTTCTTCTTTGGATCTTCCTCTTTAGACTGTTCTTCAACACCTTCTTTAGTACTGTTCGTAACGGAAGCAAGGGTAGGCAGCTTCTCAGACACAGCGCTAACGGCCCTTTTCAACTCCTTGACACTCCACGCGCTGCCCTCTTTCTCAATGCGAAACACATCGTTCTCGCCCTTGATGTACTCATCCCCATCAACTATAGTGATGATTTCACCCCACGTAGCGACGAGATCAGCGACGTCTGATAGGTTATGAGCGGTGAGATGCAGACGGGAAAGGGACGGTACCGCTTGTTCCTGCTCGTTGACCTGCAGCCCAAGTTTGCGGAGGATCAAGCGCATAAAGTCAAGTCGAGTAGCGTCTGTGGCTGCGATGTCGCTGATGACGGTGGCATATGAAGGTAAGCTGGGGATCTTGCTTAGGTTCTGGGGCGCGAATCTACGGTATATTAGTCAAAACGTGTGACACAGATCGAAGCAGACTTACTCAGGATGCGGCCCAGTAACAACAGCATGTCCCTCACCCACCTTCCGATACACAACGGCCGCCTTCCCCTCCCCACTCTCCACATGCAAATCCTCCGTATAACCCGCCAATATCTGCACCCCCCTACCCTCCATCTTCCCCGCATCAACAAAAACACCCCCACCATTATAATAGCTCTTAAACACATCCCCCACTCCTTCATCAACCCCCTCAAATGCACCCTTCTCAATCTTAATTTCCGCCGCCCTCGCCCCAGCTTCACTCGCATACTTGAACCCCTCAAACGCCAGTCCCCTACACGTCCCAGGAAAGAAACCTAATTCCCTCTCTCCTTCTACAGCCATCTTAGGGTCGTGGACTTCGAATTCACATCTACTGCTACCGTAGTATCCTCCGGCGCAGAAGCCAAGGTAGGAACCACCGGCGTTTACATACCGACTGATCCGGCGGTTCCCTTCGCCGTTGAGCGTGCGGCAGTAGCCTAGATCTGCGCCGCCGGGGAAGACGAGTAGGGCGCATGTGCTGAACCAGGGTTCTTTGATAAGGGTGTCACCTGTTACGGGGATGACGGCGTAAGATGGGGATAGGAGGCGCCGCAGTGTGTAGAGACAGTGGCGGACGGACTCTGTGGTGCTGCCGTTGCCTGGGTGGGTTTAGTAATTTTTGTGGGGGTGTAAGGAAGCGTGAAAAAGGCCTACCGGAGTATACCAGCACATTCATCTTTTTGCTCGCCATGATGTTGGCGATATTGATATGTGATGTGCGATTGGGATGCTGACTGACTGACGGTGACGTTGGGGATACTGTAGTGCGGACCGAAATTGGCCGTGCTCACAGAACCAAGGTTAATTCTCTCAGCGACTGCGCAAGTTTCCGCAACTTGATAACCTCACACTTTGCAACACAATTCGTCTTTCCTGGCTCTTTCGAATATGTCAAACGAAGATAAATCCCGCGCAGCAGCAGCACAATTGCTGATTGACGATGAGCCTGATGACTGGTGCGTAGTCTTTCCTTGTTGCGGTGTATGCCGATGAGATATCATTGGGTGCTGGCAGTGGACTGCATCCGAAACCGTCAACCACACCAAGCTATCCTAGATATACATCGCTTTTTCTCTATGCAGACATATAATCGAGCTAGCACTGTTTCTATGATACAGCCTCCACCGCCTCCCCTCCTCCGCCCCTCCGCCTCCCCGCCGCCTCCCCCACCCACCCAAAAACGTAGAGGAGGAACTCTGGACGTTAGAAGCGAAACAAGCTAACCAAGGTTTCGCAGGGACAAGCGCATCTACAGCACCGGCTGCGCAGACGAAAACGCAAAATTGACAGATTGTTATTACGAGAAGAAGGATTGGCGGGCGTGTAAGCAAGAGGTAAGTTGTTTGGTGACGAGCATTGCTTCTGGCCTCTGGACCTTGGATGAGCCGAGGATTCGCCGAAAAAAGCAAGGCAATTTCCTGACACTCAAACTGACTGGATGTTCAGATGGAAATCTTCCGACAATGCTGGCAGCGACATGGGAATGATAAGAGAACGGATTCAAAAGATGTTTCAAAGTAGCGGATTCGACAGCCAGCTTCGCGAGCGCATGTGTAAAAGTAACTGTATCATCAACCAAAGCAGTGGGATGTGTAAATTAGTATTCAAACTCTAGCCATGTGGAAAATAATGTTTTTCGTCCTTCAGTATACTGAGACTACAAGTACCAATGAAAGAGATGCCCGTCAAGCCATTATACTGCAGCTGTCATTGCTTGACCGGCATGATTCCACATGAGGCTGTGTTGCCTCTGCACCGCAACTTCGTCTCAACCTAGACCGGCTTCCGTAGAACTTCAATGTCCGGCATAGCATCATCGCACCTATTCTCGGTGCATAAATGAGCCCCATGTATGCGATACACAAACTCAGTCGCATCCGCTCACTTCCTCTCATAAATCGGCGGCACAACATCCGGGTGAAACGGGCTCTTCGCCGCATCCGCCTTCTGCTTATCAAAGTTCCACACACCATTCGTCTGCCCATCATTGATGCCCTCGCCAATCTTCTTGGCCAGCTGCTCGAACAACGGGTACTTTGGTGCTTTTGAGAAGAACTTGCGCTCCCACTCCTTGCCAGCCTCCTTCTCTTGTTGTCGCATCTCGCGCTGGCGGGTCTCGATGATAGTCTTCTCCGCACTCGTCAGGTCCATGTTGCCACTGTTAATCGCATCCGACACCTTCTTCCACGCGCGCCGTGTCTCGAAGTCGTCTTGTTGCTCGATGGCGGCGACGGTGAGGGGCGTTGTTTTTGTGGACTTGTGGTCGAATGTGTCCACGACGGCCTTGGTCTTGGCATCCTTGATCTGGAACGAGTCGGTCCACTGGCCGTCGGCCTTGTAGATGGCTTCCTTCTCCTTGCCCTCAGGGTATAGCACGGCGGTGAACGAGTTCTTCTTTCCAGAGACCCAGCCCTTGCCGCTGTAGTCAATGCGCGCGGTGTAGCCGGTGGAGGATTGGATGTAGGTGCTGCTGTTGAGCTCGACGTAGGGGGAGCCTGTGATGAGGCCTTCGATGTGGAGGGCGGGGAGGGTGATGAGGTAGCTTTCGTTGTAGTTGTCGAGGTGGAGCATGGCATGTCCGATTTGCTGTGAATGTTAGCGGTGTACATGGAAGATACTGAGTGTAATTACCTTGACATTGATGGTGGTCTTGAAGGACGCCTTCTGCGCGTTGTAACCCTCTAGCCGGACGCCGTGTTGGTCGTTCCAGATGGAGTAAGCCGTGACGGGTGGATGATGACTGCGCGCATTGCATTAGCTCTCCCGTCCTATACGCGTGGCATGCTTACGACAGGCTGAGCCATCGCAAACGCGTGTGTGCGCGTACCTGACTTGCTCGCTGACGAGCTGTGTTGTGCCTGCCTGGTCCTCCCACTTGCCCAGGAACAGCTCGCCCAGGAAGGGGTTCAGAGGCTTCTTCTCGCTACCCAGCTTTTCCGACCGACTGGCGTACTGCTGCTTCAGTGTGCTCAGGAACCACTTCAGCACCAGCATGGCCCGCTTGGCAGGGTCCTTCTCGGCGGCCGGTGCGACGAAGACGGAGGGGTGTTCGGTCCAGTATGAGCTATTGGGGGTTAGTGTGTTTCCCTGGTCGGTCAATATGGTGGGACATACGAGAACTCGGTGAGCGACTTTGTGGAGAGAATAAAGGCAGGCGCCGTCATCGTGGACAGGTCGCCATTGAAGGACGCGATGGACTATGATGCGTTAGTCAAATGCCATGTTCGAGTCGAATTACCATAGTTCCTGGAGGTACGAGCCTATGCACTATGCGCGAATATCTCTAGACACGTGAGGATGCTGGGATATTTCCATACCTTGAGGAAGCTCGTCCATGAGCCTCTGGCCTGGGGTGGCACCGCCGATCCTTCTTTCTCAGCCATGATTGCGATGCACGTGTGCTGGAGATGATTTGAGGAGGAGAGAGAAGTAAGGAGAAAGCGTCGACAGGTGTAGACGCGCGTGTAGGGATGTGTGAAAGGCGGGGGTTGTCGAGGACTAGGGACCTTCGCAGTGGGGACGGAGGGCTGTTATGGAGACGCTGCGGACGGAGCATGTTTAGATTGGGCAATGACGTCGGAGCTAAGCCACACACCCGCCCAAACACAACGAGGTCATGACGAACAACACTCTCGCCACGGGGCAGTCAGCCATGCTATTCCATTTATTGGTGCTATGTTACTATTGTGATATCTCGTGTACATTCGTCTAATCATGCTTATTACATTTACGCGTTCCCTGCTCCAACTACGCGCTTAGGTCTTGACATCGGGCTCGGTGCGGCCAACGTACTCCTGGAGCTTGAGGAGGTCCGTCGCGAGCTTGACGTTGTCCTTGAGGTAGTCCTGCGCGTCCATGTCGTATGTCGACTCGTCGCTGGTGTGCTTCTCGATGTAGAGACGGATCGTGGCGCCGCTGCTGCCTGTGCCGGACAGACGAACAACGATGCGGCTACCGTCGTCGAACTTGACAAAGATACCCTGGTTCTTGCTGACGCTGCCGTCGAGGTCGGTGTAGGAGAAGTCGTCGGCCTCGAGAACCTTGCGACCAGCGACGGTGGAGCCGATGAACTCGTCCTTCTTGGTGGTAATGAGCTCCTTCATGTGGGCGGTGACCTTGTTGGCGCCCTCGGTCTCGCAGCCCTCGTAGTCGTAGCGGGTGAAGAATGTGCGGCCGTAGGTCGTCCAGAAGTCCTTTTGGATCGACGCAATGCTGGGTGTGGTTCCAGTCTGCTGTCCGACACCGGCCAAGATGTTCAACCACGCGACCACAGCCCATAGACCGTCCTTCTCACGGATGTGGTTGCTGCCCGTTCCGAAACTCTCCTCACCGCAGATGTTCATCTTGTCAGAGTCGAAGAGACCGCAAAAGAACTTCCAGCCAGTGGGCACCTCGTAGCACTCGACACCCTTCTTCTTGGCGACAAGGTCAATGGCGCCAGAAGTAGGCATACTACGGGCAAGACCATAGATGCCCTGCTTCTTGAAATATGGGATGAGCTCGGCGTGGTGTGCGATGATGGCTAAGCTGTCACCGGGCGAGACGAAGGAGTTTGCGCCGTAGATCATGTTGCGGTCACCGTCGCCGTCACTGGCAGCACCGAATTGGATTCCGTTCTTGTCAACGGCGTCGACCAGCGACTTGGCGTAGACAAGGTTGGGGTCGGGGTGGTGGCCGCCAAAGTCGGGCTTGGGGACACAGTTTTGTGTGCTGTTGGGGATGCCGAGCTCCTTCTCGAAGATGTCGACACCGTATGAGCCAGTGACACCGCTCAGGCCATCGAAGAGGACCTTGAAGTCAGAGTGCTCCTTGAGGAACGACTTGATGAGGTCAAAGTCGAAGATGTCCTTGAGCATCTTGAGGTAGTCCTCGGTGGAGTGGACAATCTCAACCTCGAGGCTTCCATACTTTTGTGTACCGATGGTGCTGAGGTCGATGTCGGGGATGTCGGCGATCTTGTACGAGCTGAGGGTCTTGGAGGTTTCGTAGATCTTGTTGGTGACGCTCTCGGGAGCCGGGGCACCGTTGGCCAGGTTGTACTTCATACCAAAGTCCTCATCGGGGCCTGGTTGTGTTAGATGGGAGGAGTGTATGCGTAGCGGAGGACTTACCACCGGGGTTGTGGCTGGCAGTCAGGAGGATACCACCCGTCGCCTTGCGTATCCGGATGATGTGACTGGCGGCGGGTGTGCTCATGATGCCATTCTGGCCGATGAGGAGCTTCTTGACGCCGTAGGCAGCGCTCATCTTGGCAATGGTCTGAGTGACCTCGGGGTTCCAGTAACGGCCATCACCACCAACGACGAGGAATGCGCCCTTGACACCTTCGGGGATGGACTGGAGGATGCTGGCAACGAAGGACTCTGAGTAGTGCTCCTGTTGGAAGACCTTGACCTTCTTGCGGAGACCAGAACTGTAGCAATGTATGTCAGCTATCATCCCTCAACGCCATAGCTCCTGAGATATCTCAGCTGTTGCAGGGTTGTTGGACTTACGTTCCGGGCTTCTGGTCCTGGAAAGGCTTCAATTCAACGGTTCGGACGCTCATATTGACTGTGTATGTTCTTCGAGCTTTGTGAGAGAAAGATGAAGCAATTGGGGGGTCGGGCGATGTGGCAGCTGGCAACTTTTGAGCTGGTGAGGGGCCCAGCTTCCCCCACCACGCGGGATGACGCCGGCGCTAGCTCGTCAGCAGAAAGACGAATTTATGCGGACAAAAAATTATTAGCCCCGCAGAGGGTAATAATTTTTTGTCTAATTAGAAATAACAGCCTTAGCAACACAACTAGCTAGCAGCAACACAACTACCTAGTAGCAACACTGCAACACATTAACACCGCAACACATTAACACCGTAACTACTACTATATTATTCTATACTCTATAATAACAACTAACTTCTACAATATATACAATAATAGTAAAATACTTCTTTTCTCTCTATCTCGCGCAAGAGATCTACTTTAGCTTCTTCTTAACGCTACTGCTACGCTTATTACTACTATTAATAGTAGCTAAGATTAATTAATTAACATCTACAACTAGAAAAACAAATATTATATCTATCTACAAATTTCTTGTAAAGCAACTATTAAAGCAATTTAGATACCTAATACATCTTACGCTAGGTATATACATAAGGTAGGCTAATACTATAACTAAGTAAACTTTGCTGCTACTACTACTACTACTACCTCTCTTATACTCTAATGTTGTATATTACTCTTCTTTAAGTCTCTTGTTAATAACTATTAGCTAGTAATACTATAGTCTTATTCTTTTATTCTCTAACTACGCGCTTCTACTATACCTATTATATTATATCTATTTTACACTTTACTAAGACTAATAAACCTATATATATCTAGGCTTAGAGTGCATAAGAGATAATAAGAGAGAAGATAGTAAGAAGCTATTAAATAAGTAGTGTTAAAGCAGAATTATTACTTAGGCTATAGCTATAATAGTATATATACAGGCCTTTATAGATAAGAATAGTAACTAGAGATATATAAATAGAAATAACTATATAAGCTACTATAGCCTTAGAATTACTAACTACCTAGAGAGTAATTATCTTAACTACAACTTAGCGTGTTAGCCTATAGTTATAATTACTTTTTAGCTAGATATAGAAAGAAGCTACACTATCTTACTATACTCTAAGAGAAAACAATATAAACGCCTATTTAGCTTATTTTTAGAATTACTTATACTTACTACCTCTTAGTAATAAAAGTAGTCTCTTCTTAGTTATTAGTGCTAGACTTGCTAGCGCTAAGAGTCTTGTAGATAGTATCTTATATATAGGTAGTCTAGATTTAGATAAAGAAAGAGTGTAGTACTTAACTAGCGTGTATAACTATAACTTATTAGTTTTAGAAATTAATATAATATTAATAATAACATCTTTATAGTAAACTTAGAACTAGTATATTATAAATAGTATATATATATAGTGTACTTAAAGTCTCTTATTTAATAAAGTTATTCTTACTATATATCTAATAGAGTACTAGTACAACTACTTATAAAAGAACCTAGATAATACTAAAGTGTATATCTTTGCAGACTAGTGTATTATACTACTACTACTATAGTAGATAATGCTATGCAAGAGAAGGTAAAGGTGTACCTAGTAGTATTAGTTTTACGCCTACTAGTTATTATTTATTAAGAGTAGTGTTTCTAGAAGTAATATTAGTGTTACTATTCTTAATAGCTTTAGTCTTACACTTATATAGTGTTATAATCTTTCTAGGTGCCTAGATATAACCTTAGCGCCTATTACTTTTCTTATTCTTAGCCTTACGCTTATGTAGTATTATATTATAGAGGTAAAAAGATAGCTAGAGCTATATAGTGCGTATATAGAAGATAGAATAGAAGAGAGTTAAACTTATTATATATATAATAATAATAGTAAAAAAAAAATAGATACGCGTATAGAGCCTTAGAATTAAACCTTATTATTAGAAAGTAATATAGTTACTATTAGTAACGTAAGCTAGAAACTTAATAATTCTTTACAGACTTATAAAGATTATATATTATTATCTCTAGCTATTACACTATAAGTCTAGATAATAGAAATTAGCGTAGTTGTATAGATTATATAGCTAAGGTATTTTTTATCTCTTTTCTTATAGTAGTAGGTAATTATAGATAAGATTTAGAGCTACTAGAAAGAGAAGACGTAAAGATCTAGAAATTCTATAGTAAGTTTAAAGCTACTAGAGAGAGAAGGTACTAGAATTAGTATAGTAAGTTTGTATAAGCTAGATTTATATAAGAGTAGACTTATATAGTAAACTTAAAGCTCTTAAATAGTAAACTAGAGAGTATAAGCTAGAAATTATAATTAAATATAGCTAAAAACTTAATAATTTTATATACTATAAGAAGTAAAAGAGCTATATTATTAGATAAGTAAGGTATATAGAGTAGAGAAAGAAGTTATATAGGCTTATTTATATATATATTTATAAGTATATAGAAATGTATATATATATTAGAGTAAAGCGTTAAGTAAATAGAAAGAAATATATAGCTACTAAAGGTAGATAGATTAAGAAAAAAGATTTTAATAGAGATTTAAAGTTAAGCTACTAAGACATATTACGTATACCTATAGACTAGCTATCTTCTAATAAAAGATTTTATATACTATACTACTTTATGTCTTAAACTCTACTATATATATAAATTACAAATATACCTCTAAAGAGGCCTTCTAAGAATAGTAATAGTAGTAAATATTCTATAAAGCGTGTAAGAAACTATATCTTCTATACTAATTCTATAAGTTAGTCTACTATAGTAGCTACTATAGAAGCTAACTTATATACTAATTAGTTTTAAGGTCTATAATATAACAAGCGCTAAGTTTATATCTTAATAACTAATATACGTAGAATATAACACGCTACTCTTATGTTAAGTCTCTACTTCTCTACGTCTAAACCTATTAACTCTAACTCTATATATACCTACTTTATACTAGCTACTACGTAAGTATATAGTAAGTTTAGACTAAAACGTCTTACTAACACCTACGCTTACGCTTATACGCTTCTTTTATACTTCTATGTATAGATAAATAGTGTAAGTAGTAGATATACTATAAATAGCTACTATCTATACTATGTATACTTATTAGTCTATATATAGCTAACTTATTACTTCTACGCCTACTAGTCTATAGTAGTTAAGGCCTATATCTCTTTAGGTACTAGCCTTAAACTAGAGACACTTAAACGCCTATATAGAAAGGCGTAGTACTTACCTAGCCTTATATACTACTTAGTGTACTATTTATAGAACTAGAAGCGTTAAAGCTAAGTTTTATCTAGACCTAAAAGATGCTACGTATATTACTAACTAATCTATAATAATAATAGAAGATAAGTAGAAGAAAGAAGATAAGTAAAAGAAAGAAGATAAGTAGAAGAAGAAAGACGTAGAAGATAATAAACTAGAGACTAAAAATATATAGTCTATAGTAGATAGTAAATTATTAAACTAAATACTAGGTATATAGCTAGAGGCTTATAATAACGCTATTAACCTTAAAGCTAATAGTAACTCTACTTTATTATTATCTATAGAGTTTATAAGTGCGTATTATATACTTTAGCTACTACTATAGTTAATATAGACGTCTATGTTTTAATTTATATAGCTACTAGGTAATATAGACTCTAGATTAGATATAGACCTAGATAGTGCGTAATAGTAGTATACGTAGCCTAAGTACTCTATAATCTATATACTCTAAATATAAGCTAGAAGTAATAAAATTTATTATATTACTACTATATCTAAGCATTCTAGGTATCTTATCTATTAGTTCTAGCTATTAGCTCTAGCTATTAGCTCTAGTAGTTAGCTCTAGTAGTTAGCTCTAGTACTAGGCTAACTAGTTAGCTCTCTAAAGAGTCTCTATTCTATCTTCTAAAGAGATAAAAGATAGCTAACACTTATAAATAGCCTACGCTCTAGAAATAATAATAGTACTAAAGATAATATAATTTAGTAATAATATAAAATTCTATAAGACTTGTATAGAAAAGAACTAAAGCTACTCTCTACTTCTATATCTCTGCTATATTAAAGGCTTACTAATAGAAAGTCTATCTCTAGTAATTAGATACTTTATATACCTACCTATTATATATCTCTCTAATATGCCTATAACTCTCTTAGCCTTATTAGCTAGCTCTTAGCTTATTTTAGTATTACTATTACTTAATAAGTAGCTAAATAGACTAACTATATTATAGTCTTACTTATTATCTTCTTCTAGTACTTAGTATATAACCTAGATATATTAGCTATAGTTTCTATATATATCTTAACGTGTATAGTAATACAGCGCTTACGCTTACTCTTATCTTAAATAATATTACCTTTTTATTCTTTATATTATAAAGAGTAATCTAGAACTTTATATTACTATTAACTATAACTCTCTTATAGCTATAATATAATCTTTATAGACTATATTTTACTTTTCTAGTCTAACTTAATAACTTAGAGTAATAGGTAAGTCTCTACTATACTTCTATATCTTTCTTAGTGTAAGTATCTATAAAGTTGTCTTTCTCTTCTTATTTAGTGTATTACTACTCTAGCTATTAAGTAAAGCTAAGAGCATTTTTAACCTATTAGTAAAGAATTTATTATAGATATAAATATATATAGTTTCTTTTAGAAATGCGTAGAGATTATATCTCTACTTACTCTAGGTATTTATTGTAATAATAGCTAATTAGAATATTTTGTTATTATAGATAATATTAAGTCTATTCTTATTTTTAATTTTATAGTAGATTTCTAATTTATTAATATATACTAATATATCTTAGCCTTTATTATAGATAGCTTTAAACTTACTAAGTTTTAGCTTTAGTAACTAGAAAGATATATCTTCTAGATTTATATCTATTAGTATAGGCTTAGTGTCTATGTTGTATCTATTTATTAAGGTTTAGAGACTAAAATCTCTAAGTTAAGTACTAGTAGTAGAATTAGTGTTATTATTTTAGT